TGGACACCTAGTGAGTACGGGGCCGGGGCGGCTCTTCCCGCAGCTTCCAGCCTGAGCCACCCTGCCCGGCGGCTCCTTCCCCGTTAGATCGTCGTCCTCTCGGCAGCGTTTGCACAGCAGTGAAGCCGAGCTGCTGGGGAGCTGCAGAGCAGGGGGTGGGGTGGTGGCGTCCCCTGCGCGCACCACGCAGAAGTGGCTTTTTATGCTGGAGCTTCCTGCGGTTTAGGGCTCCCACATGAAAAATGACCTTGGGGGCATCGTGCGGGAGCAGTGAAGCCCAGCTCCTACATCTCCACCCATTTCCTGTGCGGTTTCTCCCCAGCCCACAGCACATCATCTCTGGGCTGTGATCAGGGACTAGCCGTGGGAGTGAAAATCGGGAAGGAAACAGGTTTTTCCTTTGCATTTTGCGTTTGACGGAGCATGGTGATTCTGCCCGGTTGCTATGGAGGCGTCCACAGAGGGACACGCACAAGCTCAGGAATTCCTTGATCAATTACGATACAAAATAAAATGCATTTCAAATATTGTGTAGAATCCACTTAATCTTTGCTTTTCCCAGATAGAGGCACATTAGTAGTCCTGGAGCAGTTGTGGGAAATCTGGGAGAAAATTCAGTTCCCAGTTCCAAGAGTGTCGTCTTGTGACAATACCACTCATTTCTAGGTCCTGTCGTGCACGGATGATGCTGTGCCCGGGTCAGCGTTCTGACCTGAACCGTGGCAGGGGAGCACAAGTTCTGTACTGCATGCGGAGTGTGCTCTACTTGAACTGTTGCTCCTCTTTCCTTTTCATCATTTTAATTAAACCAGAAAAGCAGTTGCTGCAGAGGACAAAAGCTATTGTCTACCTCACTGCGGCACATTTTGCCATGATACACTGGAATAGATGCATTTTGTGCTGTTCTGCAGTCGCTCAAAGCAGAACTGAATAATGTAGGATATAGCTGTACTGGTTTATTGGTCAAAAATAAAAGATCACAACACCTCTCTGTGTTTCCGTCTCCAGTGAATACAGAGGCTTGGTCAAACACACAGGAGGCTGTCACTGCGGAGCCGTCCGCTTTGAGGTCTGGGCTTCGGCAGATCTGCATGTTTTTAACTGCAAGTGAGTTTTCTTTTGTTCCCTAGTCTTGTTTAAGCTTGTATGCTTTTCCAGTCAACGCCTTAGAGCTAAAAGATGACGACACAGCTGCAGAACATCCTCTTAGCTGTTTCCATAGGGTACACCCCTAATTATGTCCTGATCCAATATGGGAGCAGTGCTGGTGATTTCAGATGATGCTTCTTTGGGCAGGACTTTAGTTCTGCCACCCATGCCCACACAGAAAGTGTCAGGAGACATCCAGCGAGTACAGGTGCTCAGCCATCTGGTTTCTGTTTCTCCTCAGTACAGTGTACTCCAAGCATACCAATCTTTCATTAACTTGGTCTTCTCAAGTGAACGTTACATCTCTGACCGCATGTGCCCCAAACTACAACACCCTCTGATTTCATGCCTGCAACTAGTTTGCTTCTAGCTCATGGGTAAACTTCTGAACCTTACTTACTTTCCTGTTTTCAAGGTAATTAATGGTGGCAAAATTGGCAGTCTGGTCTGAAAAATTAAATAGATTTCTCTGGACTAGAGTTTGCCCTTGTCATGTCTGCTGAGAGTTGTATATGTGAAGAAAAAGCGGATGTAATGTTTGATGTAGGAGAATACCCTACCAGTGTACCTGTGTAGGGTCAGTCTGTTATGTGGGCGTGCTTAGCCAAACACCACTGATACCACGAGTCCACTTTTGCCACTTACCTCTGTGATGCTAACCAGGAGCTGGTTTAGCCGTCAGTGGAGTTCCTGCTGTCAAGAGGTCTGATAGCTGTACCACACCTTGCCCACGGCTCTGAGAAAGGTCTGCTTTTTCTTTTACAGTTGCAGCATTTGCACAAAGAAGCAGAACAGACACTTCATTGTCCCAGCGTCGCGTTTCAAGCTGCTGAAGGTAGAGTAAGAATGCAGTAAGAGCATGAACACGAGCAGTATAATTCAGTATTATCCTCAAAGATGCAAGTGGCAGCCAGTTTTCTGTCCTAAGTTTGTCTGTGCCTGGTTGGGGGTTAGTGCATCTTATTTCGTGAGCTGACATTAGAGCTTTTGCAGTTCTCAGGCTTGACTGGGCTGGACATGTGAATATATAAAGCAAGGGTTCAGAAAAGGAGCATGAATGCAGGACTCTGTATCTCAAGGAAAGACATGGAAGTGGGATTTTAAATTTTACATTTCATAGCTATAAGTCCGTAGAAAGTAATTAATAGATCTGTTTATGTGGAAAACTCACGTTGCTTTTCATTTGTTTAGGGTGCTGATAACTTGACAACATACACCTTCAACACACATTGTGCCCAGCACACGTTCTGCAAGACCTGTGGTGTACAGAGCTTTTATACTCCTCGTTCTAACCCAGATGGTTACGGTACGTAGAAAGAGTAAACTGTGGTACCCAAAGCTAACCACTAAGCAAACCTTGGATAAAGATGCCATTGACTACTAACATGAGAGCAGTGAGCAGCATGTGTCTTGAGAGTTTGTTCCTAAACATCTGGAACTGCAGTCTGAACCTGTAGCTCCTCCATACAAAACAGTCTTACCTGTGACTTGTGGGCTTCTGCCCATGACAGGTTTCTCATCTAGGCTCTGCAGCCTTACCACAGTAGCTGACCGAACCCATTCCCTGAGATGCCCCATCCACAAAGTGGGGCAGGCATCTCCCTCCCTTTGGCTCCGAAAAGCAGGTTTCTACGTACTCCCATCTTTCTCCAGGAATAGCTCCCCATTGTCTGGATGACGGCACCGTGCAGACAGTTGTCACAGAGGACATCAATGGCAAGGAGTGGGAGAAGGCAGTGAAGGAACATAAGACCATCAAAGACATGTCAAAACCGTGATATCCCCTTCAGCAGCTGAACCTGGAGCACTGCTGTGGAACTCTAGTCTGGGCTTTTCCTGGGTGAGGGTTGGCAAAATCAGTCCCTACACTGTTGTTATCTGTCCTCTGTTTCTTAAATAAATCTTTCTATGCTCCCTGTCCCCTTCATTTGTGACTTCTGTTGTCAAACTACCTTTGTTCCACAAACCACCCCAGGGCTGCTACTCTGGTACTTTGCCCTCAGCTGTGCTAAAGTTTAAATCACAATAAACAGAGGAAAGTACAACAATCTAATCTTTGTATGGATATTTCCTGTGTTTTGAGCTTAGCTTATAAAAATGCCCTATACAAGATAATCTCTTGCTTAGGACATAACTTACACTGTTTTTTCTCCACTGACTTCAATGAATTGACCAAGGACTTAAGAGTTAAAGGAGACTTGAAAGGGCTCAGTAGCCTCAAGTTCAGTAAAGCACAGGGTCAGGTTCAGTAAAGCGTTTACACAGGCGCTTAGCTGTACGTAAGGGAAGGGCTGCTTCACACTATTCATGTGATGAAGTACTATTTGCCTAAGCCTCGACTTACTCATGGTCTTAAGGCTGAGTAGGCATACGCTTAGGCACTGACTCATGGCCAGGGAAGAGGTCAACACTGTCATTCTCTACAGCCATGGGCATATACTTCAGTACAACCAGGAACTTGAGTTGTCTTCAGGAGGATGTGTTCACAGCAGCAGATCAGGATCTGGTAATCTGGGCTCTGTTCCTGACTACGCAATGACGAGCTGTGTAGATGTAAGCTGCAGATGTGAGCCCACATTAGTGAGTGCAAAGACCTACAGAAATTTTGAGTATTGCTGACTTTGCTCCACCATGATCCCACAGAAACTCAAATCACTACTAAAATACTTATATAGACTAAGAAATAAAACCCTGAAAACTGCTTCACTTACTTTTTAACGTAAGGGGAGAGGATCTTTAACTCTTGCACTCGTCATTTACGTAAGTGGAACAGCTTTTGAAACATCTCTCGCCATTTTTATCTCCACGTCTGTTCTATAAAAGACCTAGTTACAGTCCGGGTATTTTGTGCCTCACTCACATCTTGTTGAGACTCTCGTGGGTTGATCTCTAGCTCCATGTTCTCAAGCAAGAAGAAATGCTCATGTTTCATGAGGATTGTACCTGCAACGTGTATGGAAGAAGCAGCAGTAGCAGCAAAGATCAGTGCAACTAGAGAAGTTTGTATGGTTTCTGATGGTTTATTCTTAAGTTTTGGCTTTTTAAAGTTCTGACTGAGTAAGACAGGTCTTGTGGTTCTGGTTTTATCTGTGGGGATAGCACGATCTTTGAAAAGTCACTCCTGATATTTGGAGTCTAACAAAAGCACCAAGAGGTACTTGCCAAGCATCCTTGCAGCTATATCCTCTTGGGGAAAAAAAGGTGGTGCCATTTCTTCTCCAATGCAGAAAACTCTTGCACTTCTCTCCTAATTAGAATAATCCAAATTTCTTATCCTATATAAGCTACGGTGAGAAAACAGAGTATTTGTTAAACCTTGTTCATCTCAATTTATCAGGCCACAGGATACTCAGAAGCAAGTTCATGCAGCCTGGTTTTAGTAGTCTGAAAAAATGCTGCACAAAGAGAATCCTGTCCTCTTGAGCACTGAACAGGTGAGTCTTTCTTTAGTCCTTGGCCTGACACAGTCTTTTTTTTGCTGATTCTTTTACTCTTGAAGTTGTGAGCAGCGTCTTTTTACAGCAGGCGGAGTGAATTGATCACCATATAACGTGAGAAGAGCATATAGATGTGGCGAAACCAGAGGAGCTGGCTGCGATGACACCGCATGGCTCTCTAGAAGGAAAAATAATTGAGAAAGCATTACAAGAACCTTCCAGACCTAATGTGTCCCTAAGCCTCCTTTGAAGCTCATCACCGGCAATTTATAGGACAGCCTGTTTTTAGTGAGCAGGGAAGAAGTAGTGGGAGGTGGAAGGCTGCTGTTCTGTGGGGCCAAAGGGCAGGGAGAACCTGTCTGGCCCTGTGTCGCTGGTGTTGTGCTGCCTGGTGTTCAGAGGGGTCCTGCTAGAAAGGACATTATCAGCTGCAGATTGGTGCTGTGAGGGATTCTTTGTCACATGTAACTCCTCTTCCCTCTGTGATCTGCCTGGGTGTTCACATGCTGGGGAGGCAGAAACCTGAGAGCTGTGTATCTGAGAACACTCTGCACGCCACTTCCGATCACAGATTGCCAACTGAAACCTAACTTAATCTATTTATAGCACATCAGCTTAGAAAGGTCAGTTTTCAGAAAAAAAAACACAAGGGAATAATGCCACCTTTATCAGAGCAGTTTCCATACGTTACTCATATCTTTTAGCAGCCTTAAAAGCAGGAAAGTTCTGTAGTTTGAGGATTAACAGGAGTGTTTGCTGGGTAAATATTTTAGTGCTCTGGAAGGGGAGTTAATCAGATTCTGGTATGGGAACTGTGGACTAAATGTGTGAGATCTCATGCACCAGAATAGTTCAAAAAATACACAGTAGAGAAGGGGACTCATAAAGAGCTTTTGACCACAAGTTCACAAGCTGTCTCTGTCTCTAGTTAGCACTGTGAACTAAGGACATTGTTCCTGGCATGCAGTCATGCTGTGCTTTGACAGGCCGACCACACGTTCAGAATACTATGTTGGATCCAGTCTCCTCTGAAATACATCCTGCATCCTGGACACAGTGTGAAACTCAGTGCACTGTGACTCCTGAAGATCTCCGAGCTGCTAATTTGCTCAGCCCTGTCCTACTATCCACGCAGCACACAAAGCAGCCTGTCTTGTCCATTTGTGTTTTACAAATCCCTGAAGATCATTCATTAGTGGCGTTTATAATCCAGGTATGTAATTACTTGTGAAGTTCTCTGTGAATATGACGTGTCTGTCTGAAGTGTTCACAGTGAAGATGAGCTATTCAAACGGGTTAAGCAGGTACCACGCATCTCACCCTGGCTTGTTCCGTCTCCTCCTCTGTGAGTACGAAGAGTGCATCTCTGGGCAGGAGGCAGGAAATGGGTACATCCAGGACAGAGATGTACTTCCGGAAGAGATTTACCGATTCAAGCACGAGCACACAGCACCCTAGACAAAGAAAAGAGGATAACTATTTCAAAACAACCATATTCTTGTAAGGTTGCCACCTTTCCCAGCTCAGTAGGTCTTTGCAGTCTCCCCTGTATTGCTGGCCGTGGGGATCCTTCTTGTGCTAAAGGGAGGCAGCTTCTACTCGTGCTTCCACCAGGATCTCTTTGTGCCCAGTGCATGTCAGTGACCATTTGTACTGGTTCTTGTCCTGTGTGTGGTCTGTGGAAAGCAAAGGTATCTCTGAATACCAGAGGGTTTGGGGTTTTTTTGCTTATAATTTAAATTATTCTTATGTAGTTTGACTCAAAGGAAAAAGTGCAGGCTGGCTCTCTGAATGCTGGTGCTGTATCAGATAATGGAAATTTAAAATAGCAGTCTCTGGTTCTGCTACAAAAATGAAATTTCCTCTTTCTACTTCAATACAGAGCTACAGAAAAAATATTTACCAGATTCAGGGATGGCTGTATCAAATATTAACTCAGGCAGGCAGTTTAACAGAGTTCCAGAGCTCATTGCTCAGATGTTTGTGGTGAAGCAGATGAAGGTTAACGTACAAAGATTCTACTGGTGTGGCATTTTAAAGAGCCCCTTGAACTCAAAAGTTAATTGCTACTTTTTCTTACCATGGCTAAATTGTCTTCACTGATGAGCTCAGAGCTACTGATGGTCCCATTAAGAGCCTGTAGCTCTCAAGGGAGCTGTGTTGGGATTTCTTAGGGCTTGGAAGGTGCTGTGATTATGCTCCACACTTGTGACATCGTATTAAAGTTCAACAGAAGAGGCCAAAATCACAGTTTACACGGGTGGTCAGATACACAACTAGATTTGCAATAAGATTTTCTTCAGTGTGCCCTTAAACAGGGAAATTATACAAAGGAGAGAAGGAACAATGCTGAATGGCTACAAAGGCTGCCTAATGGACCACTTTAGTGTGTGAAGCCTGTGCTCACATCTAATATTGCTTAAGCTGTTATGTTCTGAGCACAAAGTAAACTGGTGGTGCTCTTGGCTCTAAAATGTAGCAGGACTCGTGTCCTGAGGGAAAGGACTCTCCAGGACAGGGGCAGAAACAAACATCCTTTCCATAAAGAGTAACTACCTGAGGTGGATTTCTGTGAGAAGGATGATGATGCCTCTGCTAGGAGCCCTCTCTGCAGATCTGCTAAGGAATCTCATCCCACAAGGATCTGACCAGCCAACCTGCTGCTAACCTCCCTACTTTGGACATTTGGTAGATCCTTCAGTCTAGCCTCTGTCAACTATGAGATAATCAAGAAAAACATGCTGCTCTTATGCTGAATTAATTTCCTGGAGACACCAGGGGAAGAAGCCACCAAAAGTCTCCAAGGTAGAGCACAGGACTCAAAAGATCCCCCCAGCACAGGGGCCTGTGACACGCTGCCCCCAGGCACGAACAGCGTGCACAGGAGGATCCTCTGCAACTCCTCTCACAAGTGATGTGTGTTCCCTGCCTCTTCCCTGTGACACTAACTCATTTCACTGCAAAGAAAGCTCATGCTTTTATTCCAGCCAAAGCCTGCAGTGGCAGGACGTGGCAGCCCTGACGGACTCCCTCCAGCTCAGGATCTTTCAATTCCTTCCTTTCTTCTCTCTCCTCCAAGAGAAGGATTTACAGTTTGTTCCAACTTTTCAATAGCTTTGCTCAAAAGCAAAGCTGGTAACTCTTTATTTCAGTATCACAGAGGGTTCCAGGACCATACTCCCAGTTCTCTTTCTGCGCTGATCCTGGGGCATGGCTCCCCGGAAGGGTGGACAGAGCATTCAGAGGAGTTCTTTTCTCCTGCTGTGGGCAGCAATGGGCAGGGTTAGAGGCCTCAAGGGAAATCACCGGCACTTCCATCCACACAAACACTGACACAAGCCTGTGCAGCGCCAGGAAGCGGAAGAAAAGCCCTCGCCAAAGTCCTGGACGTTGCTGCAGGCGCAGCCTGCCAGGAGCTGCCGGGAGATGGCGGTGTCCGCCAGCTGCCGAGAGCCCGGACCCACCGCAGTGCCTTGCCCAGGCTAGGATCACTTTTGGCAGCATCCTCGAAGGCTCTCCCGTCTTGTCTTAACTATGTCAATGCTGTGCTATGTCCCTGCTCCCGTCCTACCGCAGCCTCGGCCATCCAGCCCTTGCAAGGTCATGGTGCCCGTCCGTGCAGAGCAGCAGCTGTGCAATGCCATATGGAAGGACCGATGGCTCTGCCAAGCGCTCTGCAGCGAGTCCCTTGGACGTGCGGGAATGCAGGCAGCTGTGGGACCAGCACGACCTGTGCCACTTCCTGACTGCGAGCCTGAGCCCTCGCCTTGCTCACGGTCCATCTCGACAAGGGACAGCCAGAGCAGGTGCTGTTTAGCTGCCATAAGGTTTCAGCTTGCCGTTGCAAAGGATGCTCTGCAGTGACAAGCGTTGCAGTTGCACACAAAAGCACCCTGATGGTTCTTTTACTCCCACTAAAGACATTTCTTGTTTCCAGGAAGCAAACTTGGAAGCAAAGTTGTGATGTGAACCACTCTTCCCCAGCTCCTGGGCAGGGATCCTCCGGGCTGCTCCGCAGGCCCAGTCTGTTGGGGGTAGTTTCAGAGAAAAGAATTAGTACGGTGCTGCACTACAACACAGCAGAGGAGAGGAACAGCTATGGGTGCCCTTGCCCTTGTAGGGGCACCCATAGCACCATTCCCACTGGCCACCTGTTTGCTTTTCAGTGCTTGCTGGGGAGGACAGGGCTAGAGCAAACATGGGGCAATGGGTCTTTCCTTTCCTGGATGGTTGTTAATGGATCCTGGCAATGCCTCGTGAATTCCTCCCTGCAATGGTGGGAAGAGAGGCCTGGTGTAGGGTTACCCACCTCTACCCTCCGATGCCTGGGCTGCTCTGTTAACAAAATGTACTCTACCTTTCCTCATAATTTTTTTTTCCCCTAAGAAATATTAAGTCATGTAGCAATAAGGCCCTTTTATTCCCCAAAGCTCAGCAATAAAGGTTCAAAACCACTGCAAGCGATTTCAGTATTGATTTGCCTGACCTCCTGGGCCCCATCGGTCAGCTCAGGCAAAGCACCGGCATCCAAGGCTCACAGAATGAGGAGCACTGTACGAGTCTTCTGTGTTAGTGATATGACAAAGATCTCCACATGCTGACAGCAAAGGCTGCTCCACATGGGAACGTGATATGAACTGAAGCAGAGAAGGAATGTACAGTCCAGGGGGAGATGGAAAAGGGTTAGGAGAAAGAGGCTGCTCCCTGCCAAGCAGGGTAAGAGAAGTGCTGCCATTGATGAGTCGACTCCGGTGACACCAGCAGGTGAAGCTTTTCAGAGCCTGTTGTGACTGTGACCTGGGCAGGATGGGATTAACAGTGTAATACAACCTCTCTAGCTTGGCAGAAAGGGCAAGATCAATATAGCGAGCAGATTAGGCCTAAAATAGAAGTGCATGAAGCCTGCAGCCTGTTCGGCTTGGCTTTCTACTTCCAGATCACTTCTGCAGCAAGTATGCCTAGAATGAGAAGATTATGAGCAGATCTGTGTGTGCTGAAGGCTGGCACTGCTCCTGATGGACGTTAGCAGACCTGATCTTTTGGAAGAGCACTGGTTATAGCTGGATGGGGCCAGCAGAAGGGATGGATGCATATCCAGCAGGTGTTTTGTCTTCCTGAAAGCAAGCCTATGTGCTTGTGCCTGGGCTGGAGAACTTGATTGCAGATTATAAAAAGCCTGTTGTGTTTATGCTGGCTAAGGGCATTAGAAAGCAAAGCAGGATATTTAGGGTGCTCATTTGCATATCACTGAGGCAATGCAAGGCTTAGCTGGCTTTTGCATTTGCAGAGAGATTTTCTGTGGATTCCCTGATCCCGTGGGCTTACACAGGTTCACCCACAAATAGTTCCCTCTTACCGACAGGAGAACAGCACATTTCCATGGCCTGAACATGCCTTTCAGCTCCATCCAGACAGCCTCAATCCCAGCATCACTCTTGTTTCATTAAGCCCCTCTGATGCACAGCCCTGCACGCCTGCCAGATCAAATTATAAATACTGGGAATTTCAATGAGACTGGAACTATATTTGGAAAGGCTTAGTGTAAGCAGCAGCATGGGAGCTCCCCGTTCCTTTGGTGTTTGTAGGTCATGTCAGATGTGATGTAATCAGAGCAGCAAGGCTTTCACATCGCTTCAGGAGTCTCTTGATGCTGCTAGAGAAATGGAAATGTTGTCTACACATGAGTCTCTTTCAGACCTGAACCGGTCTGAGACACGGCCCATATTCAGGATGTAGTGTATCTAACAAACCTGCATGAACAGCACAGGAAGGTGGTTCAGTCCAGATAAGGCCTGAGAGTTACATCTACCACTGCAGTTCCTTGCTCTTTTTCTGTCTTGCACACAGCACGCACAGAGCTCTTTGCTGCATCCCAAAGCTGAACAAAGAAAAGGTCCTAGGAAAGAAGTTGGCATTAATACTCCTCTTTCATAGACAGGGGAGTTGAAGAGACTAGAGTCAGAACTCAGTTAAAGGGCATTCTGCCATCTTGGCTCATGCTCACTCCACCAGATCTTGCTCTGTAACTTGCTGCTAGCAAGGAATTAAAACTGATGTGCTGTGACACATTCAAATCCTACAATGCTTTGGGAATTAGCATTAAAGAAACACGGTCCAGATGACTGCTGATGGAGCAGGAGGTTGCCTGGGTGGGCCTGCTCTTCCAAAGACCTGACAGCTTTGTGCTTAAACTAGTTCCACAAATATGTCCCCGAGTCAGGCTCTGTTTGCTAGAGATAAGGGCTGCAGATCTGCTCTGGGATAGCAGCTGGAAAAGGGAGTCAGGAGCAACCTACTTCTGTACTTTGCTTCTATCTCTTCCCGACTTTTACAGGGAGTTTCTGAGAGATAGTTGCTCATTTACAGGTGAAAGAAGCCACTGAACAACGCGTTGTTCCAGTGCAGATTTCAGATACCTTTCCCATACTGACCACATTTTGATGGCAGCTTCGCTTAGTACACACGACCATTTGTGGCTGAGCTGGTAATGGTTTCTGAGGCCACTGTCACAATAAAATAATTTTTAAAAAAGGCTCCTAAGTAAGATGTGACCAAAAACTCTGGGACTGAGCTAAGAGACCTGGAAATGGCACTCACATTCAAGCAAGACAGCGAGGCATAGGCCAGGCACTGAATCACACCACCGAGACAGGACAATCCCAGAGGGCAGAAAAGTGACTGTAGAGGGGCCTGAGCTGATAGAAAACTGCAGGGACATGAAAGGGCAAGGAAGAGTTCAGCTGTGGGTTTTGTTTGCATTGCAAATAGAGGTGAGTTAGGCATGTGAGACCCTGGACAGAACATTCATGCAGTTGCCTAATGCCTACAGGGTCATGGACGCATAATGGGACATACCTTCAGGTAACTTCCGCTGGGAATGCAGGTACCTGTGAATGAAGAGATACACAGGGGTAAACACTCAATGAAGTTACTCAAATCCTGATTTTACAGTATCAACCCTGTACGCTAAATCAACCCTTTTCTCTTAATACACACACACATTTACAATGGCTAATCTTAGAAGAAAGTTCAGGAGCTGGCACTGGATGCAATGTCAGGCAGTGCTCAGCCTCATTCCCCACACCATTCTGCCATTACGTTCCTCATCCTGGCTGCTGGGACACAACACAAGTAAGTTCCATAAATCCAACTGGCTCTCAGACTTCTCATGTTGCACTAAGGAAACTGCAAGAGGCTGCCAAAGGCTGTTCACCTCTGGGAGCACTGGCTCTTTCACACCGTGTGTTTGCTGACCAGGGGCATTGCCTCAGCAGCAATGGTGTTTGCGGACCAGCTTCTTTCCTTCCAACCCACGCTGGTACTGGGACATCCGAGAAGCTTCTCAGACGTTTTGCTCACTAAGAATTTGATCCCATCATGACTTTGTCCTGCAAAGTCTCTAGCAAAAGCGCATCCCTTGGAGACAGAATGAGGGGAGCAGTGCAGGAGACGTGAACAGTGATGGCACTTCCATCAGGAAGTGTGAGCAAACGACCCTGATATGATGAAGGCATCAGAGGGTATTAGTTTGAATTCCTTTTTAATTCTCCTGTTTTTCCTGCTCCAGCCTGTGGTTCATGGCTTCAGAGCACTTTTGCTCACACCACCCTCTGCATCGCCTCCAGGTTTGGCCACACAGGGGTGGGAGGGGGCGGGTTTCCAGCAGGTGGCACTCAGTGCTGTCCCACACCCCTGCTTGCTTCTCCAAAAGGAAAACCAATCCAAACAATGGAACATTTGCCAAAAGGAGAAAGGAAATAAAAAAAGAAAAGTTATTTAACCCTGCGTAATATTCAAAGAGATTGTTATCATCTTACGGTGGTGTATTTAACAAAGGACAATGTGACAGTTCATGTGTAAATCAACCAGGATAAAACATACATTATATGTAAACTGCTGCGCTTCTCCAGTCACTTTCAAACTAGGTTTATCCCTGGCTATTGGTTAAGTTCAAGGAAAAGGATTAACTAGACAGGCGTAGACAAAATAGGAAGCACGGAGTAATGAATACTCAAAGCAATTCAAAGCAAAAGTCAAGCCAGAAATGCAGGTCATGGCAGAACTCAAATGGCAATTAGAAGATATATGCCTTAAATGGATTCTCTTGCCAGTAGTCTCCTCTCCTCCCGAGCCAAGGATCTGCAAGCAATACCATTTTCTACTAAACAATGCCCTTGCAATACTGACTTGGCTACCTCCTACCCCACTACTCAAGTCCTACTGTTCTGACAAAGACTTTTAAATGTTGCCTTGTAAACATTACCAGCAATTTTTCAGGGGCAGTGGGGGGGAGGAAGGTTTAAGTATCATCTCCATTAATGTCTGTTCTGCTCTTCTGCCAGAGGTTTCTTCCCCCACAACTAGAATGGCCACCCAAAGAAGTGACTCAGCACTTGGTAAAGCTAGCAGGGTGGGAACTTGGAGAGAGCAAGCAGTGAGTGGTTGTGAAATTTGGCTAACTATCCCAAATCCTGGGGTCTGTTCTGGGTGTGCTGCGCTGCCAGAGGGACCTTCAAAGCTCTAGCTGACAGCAAAGCAAAGGATGTGCAGAGCTGCTCCAAGAGGGAACTGATAATAACCATCCCAGGCCACTAGAAACAGAAGCACGGAGAGATCCATATGGATAGCAGGAGCAGAGAGGGAAAGTTTGATCCAGCAGCAACTTAAGGAATTTGTGCTTGGTTTGGGGAGACCCAAAGTGTATTTTGGTGACTGAAAGGTCCTCGAGGTTGCTGCCAGGCAGACCTGACACTGATCTGGATGAACAGGCATGAAGAAACTGATTCTCTCCTCATCCCTTTTGTCCTGAGCCAAAAGCTTCAGTACTCAGCGAGGCCCAGCACAGAGCTGTGGGAACGGGCTCCACCCAGCTGTAACGCTGCAGAGGAATCGCAGCCTGGCTCATTTGTGTTTCTCAGGCAAGAGATGGCAGTGAACTGTGGTTGCAGAGAGAGAGAGAAAAAAAGAAACACAAAACTCTACCTCCTGCACACGTTCATAAAACTGGCCAATCCTCTCCCAAATCCATCTTCCCACTCCCATCTCCACCCTGCTGGAGCTGTCTCCATGGGACACTTCCAAGTAGGGGAGAGGTTGCAGCTCTCTGTTGTTGCCATTTTGGGAATGTTGTTTTATAGGTTGGATGTGCTGTGGTTTGGGTGAAATGAAAGAGTTTGGCATAAAATCTCAGAAAGTCAAACACAAACAGGCTCTTTTTCAGGAGCTCTTTCCATGTGTTTTTTTCCAGAGATACTTTTTTATAAATTCTTTTAAACATAAAGTGATCTAAGGCTTGTTCCACCCACCCCCCAAGTGCCAGAGACCAGCTGATTACAGGGCACCTCGCACCCTCTTTGTTATGTGGTAGGTTCCGATCCACACTTGAAGGCACGTGAGACCCTCTGCAATGAAGAACTTCCAAAGGCGGTGAGACATCTGAAGGCACCCACCATTTCTGCACTGCAGGGACTCAGCACCGGCTCCTCCCTCAAGGACCAGCTGCTTTGGAAGCTCTTGCAGTCTGTAGCTATCAGTTGCATCTGCTCAACAGGAAAACTGAAATGGTCCAACAATCCTCATCCTACAAACTGCAGGATTGAGCTAGCTCCCAAATTCCCTCTCTTTATTCAGTCATCCTCAAGGAAAGATGCCAGCAAAGTGCGTGGGTTAGCTCCTGAGAGGCACTGACCGCTGCTACCTCTCCATGATGGCACAAAGGAGCAAGGCAAGATGGAGCTGCAACCTCTGTCCTGGGGCACACAGAACTCCTCTGGGATAGAAGCAAGACTGACGCCTTGCTGGGTGGATTAGTTTTGGCGATGTCCTGTTTGATGATAAATTGTTCATTGAAATCAATGACTTCACTCTCCAAATAGTCTTCCATGCCAAAGGCGAAACACTTCACTGAACTGCCTGTGCTGGCTGCTGTACAGCACGGGGTAATACAGTTTTGAAGAGCATGGCAAAGAAGGGATGTCATAAAGAGCGTTGGGGCTCCATTTAGGATCCTAACCTCTAATCTGCCCAATTAATCTGATGAAACAGATGTGAAAGAGGAAAAACAGCCATTCTCCTAGGAATCGCAGAGACATTAGAGGGATATACTTGCCAGATGTTGAATGTTTCTATCTGGAATGTCTCCTCCCTCCCTAACTGGACTTTCTGGCCCCATTTCCGTGCACCCTGAACTACACCATGTAGCAACATGCAGTTTGTAAAACACCATTCTGGCACTCTGTACTCAGGTGTATTGCAGCAGCAAAAGATGGCTCTGCCAGTCAGAAAAAAAGGTGTCAGTTCAGAGACCTTCCAGTTAACAGAGCTACTCTGCGGCTCTGAGCTTTGGTGTCTGCACTCTCAGGGAGAATGTGCAGTGTCACTGCTCCACTCATGTTGCTAGCAGTGACACTGGGATGGGCATTCCTTGAGGCTGTTTCTTTGGGAAAAAAACTACTTTGGGGGGTGGTATCCCTGCAATGCTGGTGCCCTGTGCTCAACTTTATCCTGATGGCTCTCACCAGTATCATGGAAAGGCACTGAGATGAATAAACTCAATTTAAAGAAGGAGGGAGCAGAGGCAAAGGAATGAGAGAAAATCTAGGACACCATACCCAGCTATGGGGTATGTGGCAGGGAAGGGGCAGAGTCCTTGGAGGGGAAGGGACAGTCTCAAAGGATAAACAGAGGACAATTCTGTCTTGACCTTATGGGGGCAGTCTGGGTGCAGCCACAGTCACCACTCACAAGTTCCCCCTGGGACACTTAGTCTCAGTAAAACAAAACACCAGAAGTGAGCTGGACTGTGAAAGGAGAGGCTGAAACAGGAGACACTGGAACCTGTTATTTCCTCAACACTCTTCTATATTTTGCAGGGAACTTAGAATTTCATCAGGGGCTAAACAACCCCAAACACACAGGTCAGTGACACAGAAGATCCTTTTCCAAGGCAGAGCAAGTCATAACCAGTTTTGAAAAAAGGGTTTTCTGGAAAAAAAGCAAAGGAAATTCAAACCAGCACCCTGCTTTAAAACCATAAACGAGATGCCACTTGTTTGAAATGTATGGGCTACAGCTGCTTAAAAGGAGTAAGATCAGTCCCATTCTAGCCCCACACTGTAAGAAGGCATCAAACAAAAATGGTAGATGGGCTACCGTTCATTATCATTAAGCTAATGAGCCAAGAAACAGCTTGCTTCCTGCTCAGCATTCCTTAATGACCTGGCCTTGGAAATTCCATGCAAGTATGACTGTGCTTTGTAGGGATGTAATGCAGTTGGTGGCTTTTGAGAACTGCACCCACCGAGTCTGTGGGATTTGGCTGGACAATGCACTGTTCGTTGTCTCAATACACTTGTTTGAAACTGGCAGTTAATCACTCCTCCTCTCTCAGGGAGCCTCAGCGCAACACCTCAGCACGATGCTATGTCCCATGGCATTCAACAGCCAGGCTGTGACATGTCAGTGCAACAAGGCATCGGTGGCACTCAAGCTGCACCGTAATCAACTCAAAAGTGGTAAAGCACTACGCTCCCAAATATCACCTCTGCACAGTCTCATCTACAACCTACCGCTGAGCTGGCAAATGGCAAGAAACATCCTGCAGGATGAGAGGTGGTTTTCCAAATGGGGTTTGACAAGAATAGGCTCCACTAATGATTCTTTGATATAGCTTTTTATATGGCATCATTGATATAAGTTTTATGGATGCAGTTGCTATAACAACATAATGCATAGTGGTTAAATATAGCAGCTCCTATTTTCCACTCAGTTTGCTCTGCCTTAAGCAGACAAGGACTATTCTTTCCTATTCTAGCTGGGATGAAACGTATTTGATACCTCACTGAAGAAAAGAAGTGGTACAGTCCTTCCTCCCCCTCACAAAGACCATTTCCTTCCACCCCAAAACCAACAGCCCCCCATGTGCCAGGCTACTGGGCAAGAGGGCTTGTTTAAAATCAAAATGCACAATGACTCATGCAAAACCAAACCACCTCGATATTACATGTGATCTCAGGACAAACACTGCCATTTCAAAGTGCAGGAAAGAGAGGTTCTCAAATATTCCTGTCACGTAGTGTTTACTGTGCTTATTACCACAGCGCCTAGTGACTGGCCAAATGCTGAGGGGGGGAGTAAAGTGACCTTGATGTCACTCGAGACCTGCTCTTCCTTGTGGACGTGTGTACAGGATCCAGCCTCTCTTGGTAAAGAGTTACCTGTTTTGGGGGTAAGAGAGAGTGATGGTGACGGAGAAAGAAGCAATGCTACAGAGGATTGCTTCCAATTCTCCCTTCTTTGCTGTACTGGGATTTTCTTGGGTTGGGTTTTTTCCAGCTGAAAGCCAGAACTGAAATACTCCCAGGGGAGACTAAAATCAAACAGCAATTTGTGTTCCTCTCCTATCCTGTTTTTTTCTTATTTTTCCCTTGCAGAAGAACAAATCCACCCTCAAACCTTGGCATTTCACAGTTCCTCCCAGTTCTGCAGCCTAGACACATAGCAGCAGCTGGACTCCCTGCAAGCTGCCAGGAGGAAGGTTGCTGCAAGGGAGAGGGCACATTTCTTCTGAATAGTTCCTGCTCCTTTGAACATTAACCTCTGTTCCAGGCACTAGAAAGTATATTTATGCCCTTAGCAGATAATACTGAGCATCTGCTCAGCCGTGACCCTTTCCTGAACTGTTTTGTTCCTTGAAGCTGTTCAATAATGTGCATCTCCTGAAGCAAGGAGCTGTGGGATGGGTCACACAGCCTGCTCTACCCCTGCTCTTGCAGAAAGTATTCTTGTAGGTAGTGAGCACAAGTAGACGGGGAGCGTCCAGAAGAGCTGAGGATCACTGCACCAGCCCTCTGCTTCACCCTTTCCCCTTACAGCCACAGTGGAGGCAAAACCCTGCCGACCTTGTTTAAAGGTGGTTAATAAATACATTGTACATGATACCTGGAGGGGAGAGTTCATTTGCCTTTTTCTTGCCATGTAGCACTGGGGCCCCAGGGCAGGAACCGCTGCTTTGCAAAGCCCTGCTGGCAGGGAGCTACGTGAGAAACCTCGGCAGATGCTCCCAGCACTGCCTGTACCAGACAGTATGTGAGAACTCATCAGGGCACTGAAAATCAGGAGTGATACAGTCACGCTCTACTTCCTCCATGACACAAACTGAAAACTAATGAGGACAAGCAAGCCACTAAAAATAAACTTAACCTTTCAGTGGCCACAGCATCACTCCTGCCACATGAGATGACTGGGCCACCATGCTTTTTTCTGCTGATTCAGGACTGGAAGAAAGACAAGACACAAACCAGCCCTTAGTTAATGAGCTGCTTATACTCTGGTGTCCCTATCAGCATGTATCTCATCAGCCCAGGACAATGTTCTGCTGTAGGCTAAGGTCTAATGCCAAGGTCTGAGTTCAGGGGGCTTGCAGAGAATGAATAATTCCCAGTACCACACTGTGAGATGAGAATAGGGTTAACATCCCCACCACACACACAGGAAACCTGCAGCACGAAGGTAGGAAAGTGATTTCTACACAGCCACAAAGTGAGACAATAGCAGAGCTGGGATTAAAATCACAAGTTCTCCCTAACCTTCTCACACATAACTCAGCTGCTAACTTATTTTCTCTGTATCTCTTCAGGATGTAGAACACCTAACCATCTGCCCTCCATTCCTACCTGCAGGCCGTACAGCAATTGACTGAGCAAGCAGAGGTCCAGGCAGCTGGAAGCTCTCTAGTCCCTTTGTGCCAATGGTGTGAGCATCGGTCATCAACCTCTGTTCCTCACTCACTCCTCCAGTAACACTGCGTTGGAAAGCATCGCCCCACTTAGCCCAAACAAACATGCTGTTGGCTTTAACTCTGCTCCCTTTCCTTCTGCTGGGCTGTTTCAGAAGCTGCTGGGAAAAGCCATGATCCCCTCTACCACTCAATTCCAGCCATGAGATAGCATCAAAGACCTTCAGCATCTTCCCAGGGGAGCTCAGTAGGGCACAGCACGGGTCCTGTGGCACTGCAGCTTTCTCTAGGCAAGTAAGAAAGGCAAACCACCGTGATGCTGTTAGCAAGGGCAGCCAGACAGTTATTTGAATTGCACAGATGATTCAGAAAACAAACAGCTAAAAATACAAGATATACTTGCAAAGAGTTCTTCTCATGCTTGGGAAAGGGGCAGCTCTGGAGAAGATTGCTCTAGGACACGATAAGGTCTGAATGGGCAGTGGGTTAAAATAAAATATGACAGCTGTCCTGCCAGCAAAATTTGGGTGGTTTTAATACAAGGGATTTTTGTCTAGCAACCTTCCCACATCACAGCACAGACACAGAGGTTCTCAGGATGTAAAAAATAAAGTGGTGAAGGAACAAATTGATTTAGGAGGAGCAGTAAACAGGGATGGCTCCAGTGAAATAGCAACATCCTTGGTCAGAGTGCTAAATTCAGGTACCTGGTCAGGATGGCAACATCCTCAGTGGTGCAGAACTCTCCAAAATCCAACTACCACCATCTCAGGCATCGCCTATTCACACGCTCGCCTCAAACCAGAAGTACAAAGTGATCTGTGGCACGTTTTAGCAGGATGGAGGACAGGAAGAGCAAAGAGAGCCTAGTGACTGGCAAAGCACCAGCAGATGGAATAATAAAGGATACTGTAGGTCATTCACAGAACTGTGAGAGTTTCTCCAAACAGCATTGTGTCCCACAGCCTGGCACTCAGTTATTTCCACCAAGTTAATACTGCTTTGGGCTCCTGCTATTAGTTTTCTGCTTACACACAAACACCATATTCACTCTGGAACACGAGAGCAAGGCATTCACTGAAGTGTGCAGAACACTGTACCTTAAAGCAGTGTGAAGAGAAATGTGGTTCGCATGACCACTCACTCCTCCCGCATCAAAGGTTACCACCTGCAATAAAACCACAGAACAACAATCACTTTGAGGCAGCAGGAGGCTGTGCAGTTACCAACACTGACATCTAACACGGCACAGTCCCAGCTCATTGTATCGAAAGAGTTGGTTGTGTGTTGCACAATGAGGCCTTATGTGTGTACTCATGCTACAGAAATACAACTAAACAAACAAGACACTCTCGAACTAGATGACTACACAGTCTTACAGCTTGGACAATAGAAAGATGACAAATACCCTGTTCCCACTGGCAGGATGCGCTCGTTGCTTATTACCAGGCCAAAAGGTTACTGTCAGAGTGATCTGCTGCAAACTTCTTCCTGACCCAAGAGGTCCCGCTCTGTGAATCACTCTCTCCTGGATTTGAGAACATACTAGAATGCCTGCGGATTACAAGGTGAAACTATAGCTTGTTTGTACTGTGAATCAGGACATATTGCTTTAACGAGAGCAACACAATCCTGTATTACTGCCCTGATTGTAATGAGGCTTCATCACAGGATAACCTAGTGATAAAATCATCAGATATGAGAACAAGCCTTTTTAAAGAATCAGCTGACTGCACTTTTTGCACAACCAAGTCAGGCTTTCCACTGAATGAGAAGATTATTTTGTTTATTGCTCCTCTGCAGGGAGAAATGGGAACTTCATAATGCAGAAGTAATGTGTGAACACAGCACTAACAAGTCACTGTCCAAAGCACAGAATACCCTTGGCTCCCTGCCCTCAGACCTACCAATAATGTGCCAGGGCCGAAGCATCTACCCTGAGGGCTCACTCTGCACATTACAGTGTAGTGGGTGTTTAGAGGTTCCCAATTCCAACCTAGCAGACAGACTGGCAGTGATAAATACAGGGCAGACAGGGTAGGTGTGCTGACAGGCTTTCCAGACCGTGAAAGGGATGGTGAGAGTCTGAAGTTAGGTTTTTGCTCTGGAAGAGACCCAGCAGCAGAGCTCTACAGCTCCCTTCTCCGTGACCGGGAAAAAAATCATACCCTCCCTACATTCCAATCAATGTCTGCTTCCTTGCCAGCTCGTCCTCTCTTCAGGGAAGGAAACGCTACAGCTCCCTTCTCCAGGTCTATTTTATACACAGGGTCTGAAGTTCTGGGTTAAAGATCAAGGGAAGATCAAAAGCCCTGCCCGTCCTGCAATTTGCTACTCCGCCCTCCAACAGGAGAGGCCCTCTCAAACACATATTGTGTAAAGAGGGAGAGGAAACACAAAGACAGCGATAAGAAATACTTCAAAACCCACGAACACCAGACAAGCCTGCTTATAAACCCACCCACTCAGTGCAAGTCCACAGTTGGACTTTCCAGTTTGCCCAGTGGCTGTAAGAACGCTGACACCAAGCAGCGGGATTATTCATTGCTGGCAGGAAGTGGTGGGGCCCAATTTGGGTTTGTCCAGGTACAAAGAACCATTCTCTGGTCAACCTCTACTTTCTAAGGAGAAAAATTAGGTCTCTGGCTTGGTTGCTTCTGCTGCACATCAGCACGACCTGAGAGGCTGTCTGCAGGGGTGGCATGGTCTGGCATGGTGCTAAGCCCTCCCTAGGGATACCAGCTTTTTGAGTAGCTCATTAATAAATTCTGTACAGCTCAGGGAGCCAGCACAGCACCCTGTATTTTACAGATAAGTAAAAACATGCTCTGAAGTCACTTCTACTTAGAGTGGCACTTTCCTAAGATGACAATGTACCCCACTCACTGCAGGCAGAGTAAATTCCTATGCAGATGAGTAAGGGCTGGTCTTGCACTTAACCTTCTACTACATAGGGACAGAGAGAGGGTTTGTCTCTTCTGCCTGGTCATTTATTTTCATGTAACCTGCACAAACATGACGTTTTTAACACTACTAACCTGCTCTCAGTTGTGGTTGAAATTAGCCAATGGGCTCTATCTAGTCTTTTGAAACATGTATGTGCACACACACATATAAATACCATTGCATTAGTCATGTGCACACACACATATAAATACCATTGCATTATTCATGTTTCCTTAGGAAACCAAGCTAAAAACTCCAGACAAGCCAAAACACACATTTTCCCTTCTGTGAACGGTGTAAGAGAACAAACCAGAAGACTGAGATAAGAGACTATAGTGAGCAGACTAAATAAACTAATCATTATTTTGACAAAACTGGCTCAGGCCAACTGTGGGAGCACAAGGCTGAGTTAGGAAATATTCTTGACATGGAAATTATCTGTTCAGAAAGACCTTTGGAGGTTTTTCTTCTCCACAACTGTTTTGAAATAGGAGCTGCTGTTCTTAGTGCTGCCGGACTTATGTTAACATCTGAACTCGCTGAAGAGTCTGCATCGAGTTAATTTTCAATGGATGTTGTCTAATTTACTGTTAGGACATTTGCACCTGAATTGCCCATCTCTTCAAATTTACACATATGTAAGTACAATTCCCAAGGTAACTGCATGCTGAAGTGGCCACAGTGACCACAGTGACGTTCACTTTACCTGCAAAGAGGCCACTTTGAAACGTTGGCCCTTCACCTTTAGAGATCCCTCCCAGCACACAGGCTGGCTCTGAGGCAGGAGTGATGTCCCACCTACCCAACATGTAGCTCCTAAGCCTGTTGTCTGCACAGGCCACTGATTCCACAGCAGCCCTGCGGTGCTCGTGACTTAAAGCAGGCAGCAATTACATGCAAACCTATTCCTCTGGCTTCAGGGATCATTTCATTGATAACAAATCCAGATTTCTCTCTCACATGCTGAAGATATTTTCACACGGGAGCAATTGCCTCTTCCGCGTGGCGCAGCTAGCTGCTGTGGTTGCTTTTAGCACACAACCTGACCCAGGCTGATGATGCAATCGAGCAAACAGTCAGGGCAGGATGAGAAAACCTGAACATCTTGAAACTGTCTGGGTTAAAAACAGGCTTAGCCAGTTCTGGGAGCAAAAGGCTGGGATAGGAAATATACTTGATGTGGAAATTATTGCTCAATGAAATCTTTAGGGCAAGAGGGAGTTCCCTCCCCACACCTGTTCTGAAATGGGAGCCGCTGCTGCTGGTGTTGCTGGGTTTTCTTCTGGGTGACCTTCGTATTCAGGAAATGGAGCTTTCACTAGTGGAAACCAGGGCAACAGCCAAGACAAACAGGTCCAGAAATCCCTTCCGGAGCAGGGGGAGCACAGAGGAAATTACTCAATTACTAGCAGAAGAGAAAAGTCCTGAGAGGTCTGCAGTCCATGTTCCCTATACACACCATGTGCATTGGAGGAAAAGAGCTGTGGGTCTCCCTCGCTCTTCCTGGCGTCACCCAGAGCTCCAGAGCCCACATCTGCTCAAGCAGACTGGTGAGGATAGAAAGGTCTCTCTCCTTTTTAAGAAGGGCCATCCCATAAAATGCCACAGCAAGCAACTTTATTTCTAATGGCCTTCCTCTGAGCATCATTTCCCAGGCCTGATTTACAGAGGCCAGTGACATTCAAACTCGCTCTGCATCTCCTGTGTCTGGAGATGTCTCTTGCTGCTAGTAAATCAGAGAAGCTAAAGATTAAAAAGAATGGACAGCTGGATGAAAAAGGAAAAATCTAATCACAATCAACATCCCAGTGTCCACTGGGTTTGAGCTGCAAGTGTGTAAATCACGCAGCAGCCCTTAGAATGAAAGGTCTTGGGGGGCTCCCACTCACGTACCTGAGGGGACTGCAACACAGGTGAGGGAGGCAGTGAAAGGGGGGACAAAGACTGTCTCAGCTCTGTTGCCTCCTCTAGCGAACTCCACAGGCTGCACTGCAAATCTGGTGTTCTGCAAAAGCGTTTAAAATCCTCTGCAAACATCACACGTTCAATGCTCCTGAATTGTGGGAGAATGTGGAAACTGAGATCCAAAACATGAGAGTTGAATTCACCCTCACAAATATAAGCTCCAACTGGAATGCCATTTGGAGAAGGATTTGGCTTTCTAGGCTGATTTGGAGATGAGCCAAGACAATGAGACTCTTCCACAAACAGTTGCAGAGATGATGTTTCCATCAATCCGTAGTGGAAAGCAGCTTGTAAGAACATGGTAGAGCTGAATTCTGGTCTTGGTACTGCATCTGCTCCAAACACAGTCGGAATGTCCCCTCCTAATCCAAGCTCTGCTATCACCAAATCTGAGATCCTGAAGAGTAGGATTTCATAACCTAGAGCCCGCCTGGGGCTCACACAACACAATGTAACTTACATTTTACACACTGAATACTTGCTAATCCAGATCAAGACTGACCAGCCTCGGCTGCCTCTCCCAGCAACGCTGATTTGCTTATAAATCCAGCACGCAGGAAATAATTCCCAAAGTCTATAAATTAGTTTTGGCTTTGAGTACACCAACTGTTAATTTCTGTTTCTCCACTATTTAATGTAGAGCTTGGATGAGACATGTCCCTGTAGCTCTCAAACAGATTGAGTTACTCATGGACTTCCAGGGCAACTGAGGAAGTGAGTAACTATGCAATGGAACACAACTACACATAACATGGTGTGACTCCTTGCCTTGCGATCTTTCCTTTCAGATACGCTGGAACTGCAGCCGGCTTCTCCACTGCCAGCTGACACATGTTCTGTAAATAAAAGATCCCATTGACTACACCACGACTATGGGGAGAACTGGGGAGAGTTTTCCCACTGGGATAGCTAAAATACTACATATCATGTTAACCCCATTGAGTTAGTTGTGTTTGAAACCCTGTAAACTTATGTTTTGGCAAGGCTCTTTTAACACATTAAGCTAATTCTATCAATTTCAACACTACTGAAAACTAAACTCAGTTTACCTTTCAAGGCAAGGCCATCTCTGCCAAGGACAGCAGAGATGCTCGAGGAGTGGCTAACAGATAGCAAGCTTTGATGTTTTAAAGTGCAGAATGTTGGACAAAGGTGATTAGGCACTTGCTTTGCTGTTGTTGGCAAACTAGGTCTGCTCCTAAATGAAAGTTATTACAGCAAACATCTGAGACCCGTGGGATTACCTGGCACACTTAAAATAATGTAAGTTTACAGAGCAGTTCATTACCACCACCCCAAGAAGCTGCTTCAGTGGCCTTGGGGGCTGCTGACATGTTCTGCTACAGTAATTTGTCCTCCCTGCTGCTCAGGGCAAGTGCTGAGGGGAACGCAGTGGGCCCTGTCGCAGTGTTCCTCATGACTGCAGCTACCCCCAGCACGGCAGGAGTGTACTAGTGACTGTGTGTGTTTCTTGCTTTGAAACCCCCGCACTTGATTTTCAGCTCATGCTAGGCTAGTGGCGGACCCCTGCCTCCCCCAGCACAAACACCTTGAGTTTAATTTCCTCGGAGGCAAAGATCTAACCCTTTCTAACCATCTAGAATAAGTTCTGGTGTTTTCAGAACGTCTACAGGGATTCTGGTGCACTTGTGCTAGTGCCTGTGAGAGTCACAAACATGCAATACAAACCCTCTCGGGTTGGGAGCTTTCAGATTAGATTAAACCCTACCTATTCACAAGGCCAAAAGGCACAAAAAGAGTCCAGGAAGACTGCATTTGTCTCCCTGCACAGCAATGAATTTCATGGAAAATTAGCCTCAGAATCAATACAAAGTTGGATGCGGGATGCTGGGTTTTGTGCTCATGGGGCTTCCATGCTACAGGAGATGTGGTTTCTTGTTTTGTGAACTGCTGAAAGGCTTTAGGAGTTTTGTGATTTTGCTGCTAAGCAGTGTGTGACAGTGACATGGCTGATCACAGCAAGGTTCAACAGAAAAGAACAGAACACCACCTTTTCCATGCTTAGGCCCTTATTCCTCCTCTGTGGAAAACAAAACCTATACCAGTGCTAGGAAATCTCCCTGGATTAATATCCTTCAATTCCAACCTATAACCCTGCTAATCCAGCTCTAACACATGCCTGCCAATGTACTTCAAATCTAGGCCTAAATGCAGGCCTAAATCCCAGAGGGGGTCTCTTCATCCCTGAAACCTAGCAACAGGGGCAAAATGGCTGCTTTGCAACATAGAAAACATCTGAGGAGTTAGTAAAGTAAAATTCCTCCGCTGTTCATTTCTCACTGGGAAGCAAGGAAAGATGTCCCGTGAGAAAGGATACATCCGAACTACACCATCATCCTGTTCCGTATTTTTCAGTGAGCAAGTTCTAGCAGTTGTTCAGAGTGTTTGAAAGAGGATCAGAATGACCATGTCTTAATTCTCAAGACTTGCAAGAAGTCCCAAACTACAAAAGGCAAAATTGCTTTCAGGTATCATTTTAGACCTAAAATTCAACTGGGTTTATTCAGGGGGTCTTCTACAATTAATGAACCCTTAATTAATCTGCTGCAGTGAAACTTCCTAGTTCCAACAGAGTTTGCAGTTTTTAACCAGTCTGAAGCTTTTAGTTTGTGAAGGTTGGCAGCTCTACAACCTAAAAGAGGCTTCTTTCTTGCTTGAGAAATGGACAAACATTAGAAAGTGAGTATTTCAAAACAAGTAAGTATACTTTCTCCCTCTCCTAGGCTATTTCACAGAGACTCCAGAAGCAAAATCCTAACTTCAAAGAAAGCTTTCATAAGGAAGGAAAAAGTCTAGAACACTAGCTCAAAAAATAATGTGGAAAATGTCTATGAGGTAGAAAGTTTCACATTACCAGGTTGATGTTATTGGCTTCTATATGCTTTAGCACTAAGGCGGCGAGGAGTTGCATGTCCCATTCAACAGCAGGATTATCAGGAAGATCCCTGAAAATGAGAAGTGCAATAGTCATTTCACTGCTGAGAACTTTATAAAGACCATACTAGAAAAGAGAGATCCTCTTATCAGAAAATCAAGATAAATTTCTTTACCCTATAAACCCACTGAACCTTAAGAGCCTTATGAGCTTGTGTACTGGAGGGTTGAAAGGGGAACAGCACTTCCAGCACCCTCCTTATAGATTTGCCAAGGTCTCCCTTTCTTCTTACCGTTAAGGTAGACTTTCTGGCTTCTTTGCTTTAAGCGACATCTCTGCTGTTCAATTATTCTTGTTCTTTATTCATCCCAATCAATTTTTTTTCTCTCTCTTTATTTAAAACCCCTTTAAAAACACATTTTCCTGAAAGACTTTCCAGTCATAATCTACTGGTGAATTACACAGGAAAAGTAACGAGCAAACTCCTGCTTTCAGTTACACAGGAATAACTCATTAACCTCAACCACAGGACAACAGGGCCATAATTATATTGCATGGATTTGATAGTAATTCTTCATCTGTTTATTTTATGCTTTGCATACCAACTGGCTATGCAAAGCATACTGTGCCTGACTACTCTGCCTAGGTATTTCAGATTGCAGGCTCCTAGGGGCAGGGACCATGAGCCAAATGTAAAATAACATCAGGCAGCCAAGAGAATGATTCCATATTTACACAACGGAGAGCTGAATTTGACCCCTCAGTCATTAGGTTTGAATGATGCCAAGAAAACATTGCTTGCAAAGTTAAAAAGGTTATTAGTTACAATAGGATAACACACAGCTGCTGAAGACCAATAATGGTCTTTTTCTCAGGCCTTTTCGGTCCTCTGACAGTCTGGTAATTGCTGAGAGGTGGTTAGCAGAACAGTGACTACTCAGCCGTCTCACACAGACACTGGGTTTGGATCTGAATGGATCCAGCTGTTTGCTGCAGAGAGCAGGGGCACTGCTCCCCAATACTCTCTGCGCCTTGCTGACTCCCCAGACAGCAGAACGGTAACATCTGCATTAAAACAACTGGAAAATGTCTCCTTGGCATGTTCCAAAGGTAATGCTCAGCCTGGGTCTTCATGAAGGTCTTCTGGCCACAAATTTTCCCACTGCTGTTAAAGCAGCAGTAGTGGAAGGAAGAGCCTAGAGTACAAACTGACCATTAGCATTTTAGCTGTTGTGTTACATACTCCCGTTCAACACATTTCAACACAGGCCGAAATAATGTTCTGTTGTTGTTTGCCATTCCCTCCTGTACAGACAGCATCTTTGCCTGATCTATACAAGACATCTGAATTTCATCATAGAAAAGATTCTTTGGTACGTCGGGTGGCTGTCTCATTAACTTAACGAATCTGCATCTCATCTGCTCAAGACAAACACTTTCACATCTCGTGTTTGAAGAGGAAGTGGCACTGTTGACCCTGAAGGTACTGCAAGGCTCACCACGTCACAGCAAGCTTTAAACGGAGCACATTTTAAAAATGTGCTTCAACTAAAACATCCCAAGCAACATGCATATGGAGCAGAGACTAAGTGCAAGTCTCATGGTGCTTCAGTTGTTCGAACGGTACCTTTGAGGCTATGTCAAGGCTTAATCTGGTAATATTAAAGTAGTAAATTGGTCTAAAAGGGATTCTTCACTGGCCACTTGCAATGCAAATATCATTCCCCTTCTTGGACTGTGGAAGAAGCTGTGGAGGAAGTGAAGAGTCCCATTAAAACAGCAGGGGAGCTCCAACAGTGAGAGGTTAGGAAAAAAAAAGTGAGCTTGGAATTCATGATGTCCAGGAGACTTTGGTGTCATAGCCATTGCACTCAGCTTTATTGGGCTGTCTCCAAAAAGGCTGCTGGGTAGTGGAGCAGGTTTTAACTAGTTTAGACAGATAAAGATCACCCTAGTTCAATGGAAATGAACAGCTGGAGGCAACAGTTTAGAATCCCTGGAAACAAAACAATCTGAAGGCATGAGCAAATTAACTCCATGAATACTGAACTGATAAAGCAGGAATATTCTGCAAAATATCTATCCACTTACTGCTGCTCAGGGAGGGACCACTCCCAGTAAGGAGAATTCTTTCTTGCATAATATTTGTCAGGCCCCACAGACAGAGAAGCTGATTTTGCCAAACAAGACACACATGTACATAAGCACATTCATAGCTCATTAATAGCCATGAAGTGCCACTGAAGTATTCTTAGCTCATCCTGCAAACAGGAAAGGTGTCAACGACATGCCCAAAGTCACCCAGAGATGTAGCTTGCTCCAGGAAATTACTTTTTTTTTTTATTTTTCGGTAAGTTTGTATAATACTTTGTAAAGTTGAAAATGTACGCGTTACAAGTAGGGACCCCATGGAAAGCACAAGACCAATAACTTTCTGCTTGTGCTCTGGGTATCAATAACTGAGTCCAGGTAAGGATGAAAAGGTGATGAAGAAAACCAAGTTCATATACCCTGTAGAGCAGTGCATGCAAGATACACTCTTACCGGAGGTCTCCCCATGCCCTAGGAACTTTGTAGGTGTACAGCAACTTGGAAAACTGCTGTAGTTCACAAAATCATCTATTCAGTACAAAATATTTTTCCTAATATCATAAATCAGTCCTCACCAAACCTGAAAAGTCCACTGACTTGCTGCACTACCGAAATAAGTGGCATTCGCTGTGGACTTCAGGACTGTCAGAAACATCTGGCATTTAAATGGTTAACTCCATGCTGCCTTTCTGGCTAAGGCTGCTAATGCCTCTGAGCTCAAGGTCGAAGGGCTGAGATAAAGGACTATAAAGGAGTGAAAATTAGCACATTCCCTGGAGCAGACTGGAGCTTGTCCCAGGAGACAGGGTTCCCCACCGCTAGCCCTGTCCTCTGCCCCAGAGAGCTCCTTGTTGCTGCTGTCAGTCACTGGGACAGATGAAGATATATATCCTGCACTGGAGGCCTCCCAGGTCATGCTGCTGAGGGGCGCTGGTGCGAAGGCTACTGTCACTGCCTCACCTCCACCAAACTCTTAGGGCTGGAAGCGTTTATGGGCATTCCATGACTGACACTGAATGCAGGTGGCTACATGGATGCAGCCCCTGCTGACCAGGGAAAAATAGGGAGATGCATAGAAGAAGAAGAAAAAAGATTTTTTTAATGGAATAAGGCTCCAGGGATGTCGTTTTCCCAGCTCTTTTCAGTGAAAGCCATGCTGTGCACTGTACAGGGAATTTACAGCTGTGCCAAGGGATCTATAGACCAAAGAGAGAGAGAAATGGAGAATTATAGTGCTGCAGTTGCTGCAAGATGGAGCACTGTCTGCCTCTGCTTACTGATTGCAGCAGGACCGGTCATGGGAAACGTTGTTTTCTGAAAACAAAAACCTTTACCTTTCTATTTGTCCATCCACTGTTGGTAGTGAGAACTGGAGAGGATCCCTGATTTTCTCCTTCTCACCTCCTTGCTTTCCTCCTTCCCCTGCTGAGCAGACAGAGCAGACACTGGCATCTGCAGTTCCCTTTCCCAAGGTCTGCACAGGAAGAATATGGTGGATGTCCTGGATATCCTGGCTCAGGTACCAAAGAGCTACAAGGGGGTCACAGCAAATCACATTGCCATGTTAAACCAAAATTCCACCTTGTGCAGATCTTGCCCAGCAGTCCCACAGCTGGCTGAATGAAAGAAATGTTAAAATCACTGCCTCATGCCAGCTCCCCTCCAGGCCTCCTCCTCTTGCCTGCTGTGGGCTGTGGAGCTTATCTCCTCTTATGCCTCAGCCTTGGCCATTAGAACACTGTGCATCATGCCAGTAATGCTGTCCCTGCCAGTAGCCTGCACAGTTTTGTAGAGTTGTCTTTCTAGGAACATTTAAGCTCAAGATGGCTAGATTCCTATCATTTGTAAGGTTACTTTTGGCCAAGACAGAGATTTAAAAACCTTCACAGATATATACTGCCAAGTTACACCCTTCTTACATGATATACTGCTCAATCCCAGTCCAATTTTGTACTGCTCATCTTCCACAGTTCTTTCAGCAACAGCCAGTGCATTTACATGTACAATCTTCTTTCAAAGCCTTCCATGGAATTTATTTTGCTCATGAATTAAGCTCTCATGACTACTTAAAGGTTAAGTTAAACCAAACAGTTAGTCTATGTGATGTCCACATGGCTTAACAAACAGCAAATGGGCTGTTCTATACGGGACACTTGCAGTTAGAATAACCTTGACATCTGTCCCTCTTGAAATCTGTTGAGTGGGACAACCTCCAAGGCCCCTGGGTGCCCCATGAAGCAGAGTCTCATTCCCTAACAGTTACCGTGATGGGGACTGGCATGCACCCTCTCTGCTTTGACACGAAGCCTTCAGAGGTGGCAGTGGGGGAGCGGTGCGGCAATAGGGTTCCTTCTAGAAGGTGTTTAGGTCTCCACTAATACATTCTGAGATGCCAGAGTAAAATGTTCAAGGTACTAATGTGATTTTCCATTCCACTACACACCAAAAGGGTCAAGATGAAAGAGCTTTCCCATTCCTTATTGCCTTTTTATCCTGCAGCATGACCTTAATCAATCCAAGGCAAGGGACCAGGAAACATTTTTGCATAATTTCTCCTCCTGATCCCTCCTCTCCCGAGTGAATGACTTTACATTAAAGCAGCACAAAGGTCAGTAGATTGATGGCGGATTACATAGGAAACAGGTGAACTGCTGTGCTCTGGGTTCCCAGATGAGAACAATGACCGCAATGTGTTTGTTGGAACAAAGGATGCCCTTTGTATAAAGTTAACTGTATGAAATGAACATCTGGGCAATTGAAACTGGATCAAAAAGCAAAAGAACCCACAGAACAAAATGACGTGAGTGCACAATTAGTGAAAAAGCCATGTGATGACTACAGGCAATCAGTGACCTTTATATCATAGCATCAAAGTAATTGAACAAACTGTGTAAACAGAAATTATTTCATGCTCTCTAAAGTAGAGCAGAGAATTTTTATTTTTGAGATTATGCTGATAAGTGAAGACAGGCTAGCCCT